CAATTTAACAGTTTTTAGTATATTCACAGAGTTTTGCAATCATCACCAGAATCAATTTTAGAACATTTTATTACCCCCCCACCAAAACCAAAACCAAACAAAACTGTGTACCCATTAGTCACTCTCCACTTCCCCTCAAACCTTCTAACCCCCAGCCACAGGCAACAACTGATCTACTTTCTGTTTCTATGGATTTGCCTGTTCTGGACATTTCATAACAATGGAATCATACAATATATGGTCTTGTTCCTGGCTTCTTTCACTGAGCATAATGTTTTTTTTTCAAGGTTCATCATCCCCGTTTCTTGCCAAATAATATTCTATTATATGGATATATCACATTTTACTTACCCATTCATCAATTGATGAACATATGGTTGTTCCCACTCTTTGGCTAGTATGAATAATGCTGCTATGACCGTTCATGTACACGTTTTTATGTGGATATATGCTTTCTTTTCTCTTGGGTATGTACCTAGGAGTGGAACTTCTGGATCATACGCTAACTCTGTGTTTAAATTTTTAAGAAATGCCGAACTATTTTCCAAAACAGCTACACCATTTTACATTCCTACCAGCAATGTATGAAGTTTTCAATTTTTCTACATCCTTGCCAACAACTTGTTACCTGTCTTAATTGTAGTCATTCTAGTGGGTGTGAATTCTATTGTGGTTTTGATTGGCATTCCCCTAATGACTAATGCAGTTATTGGCCATTGGTATGTCTTCTCTGGAGAAATGTCTGTTCAGATCCTTTGCCCATTTTTTTTTTTAAAGTGTACTTTCTTTTTCTTTTTTAAAGATTTTATTGGGGAATTTGGGAAGGGAACAGTGTTGGGGAATTGGGGAAGGGAACATTGTGTTTTTCAGGACTCATCAGCTCCAAGTCAAGTTGTTGTCCTTCAATCTTAGTTGTGGAGGGTGCAAGCTCAGCTCCAAGTCCAGTTGCCACTTTCAATCTAGTTGGCGGGGGGCTGGGGCTTGGGGGAAGTGCAGCCCACCATCCCATGTGGGAGTTGAACTGGCAACCTTGTTGTTAAGAGCACGCACTCTCACCAGCTGAGCCATCCGGCTGCCCATTGGCAGCTCAGCTTGGGCGCAGCTCACTGGCCCATGTGGGAATCAAACCAGCAACCCTGTTACTCAGAGCTTGTGCTCTAACCAACTGAGTCACCTGGCCGGCCCTGCCCATTTTTAAATTGGGTTGTTTGCCTTTTTGTTGTTGAGTTGTAAGAATTCCTTGTATAGTCTGGAAACAAGCCATTTATCAGATATACATTTTCAAATATTTTCTCCCATTCTTTGGATTCTTTTTATTCTTGACGATGTCCTTTGGAACACAAAAGTTTTAAGTGTTGATGAAGTCCAGTTTATTTTTTCTTTCGTTGTTTGTGCTCTAGGTGTCCTACCTAAGAAACCATTGTAATCCAAGGTCATGAAATTTATGCTTCTGTGTTCTTATAAGGATTTTTAAAGTTGTACCTTGTTTATTTAGATTTGTGATCCATTGTGAGTTAATTTTTGTGTAGGGTGTGAGGAAGGTGTCCAGCTTCCTTGTTTTGCATGTGCATATCCAGTTGTTCCTGTACCATTCGTCGAACAGACTTTTCTTTCTCGATTGAATTGTTTTGGCACCCTTGTTGAAAATAAACTGACCGTAATGTAAGGGTTTATTTCTGGACTCTCAATTCTGTCCCATTGATTTATAAGTCTCCCCTCATACCAGTACCACACAGTCTTGTTTACTGGAGCTTTGCAGCAAGTTTTGAAATTGAGAAGTGTGAGCCCTCAAACTTTGCTTTTCTTATTCAAGATGGTTTTGGCTGTTCTGAGTCCCTTGACGTTCCATGTGAATTTTAGGATCAGTTTGTCAATTTTTGCAAAGAACCTAGCTGGGATCTTGATAGGGATTGTGTTGAATCTGTAGGTCAATTTGGGGAGTATTACCATCTTAACAATGTGTAGTCTTCCAATCCATGAACATGGGATGTCTTTCCATTTATTTAGATTCATTTCTTTCAACAATTTTTGTAATTTTCAGAGTTTAAGGTTTGCACTTTTTTGTTAATCATATTCTTAAAGTATTATTTTGATGTTGTAAATTGTTTTCTTAGTTTTATTTTTGGATGGTTCATTGCTACTATATAGAACTACAATTTATTTTTGTATATTGATCTTGTAACTTGCAACCTTGCTGAACTCGTTTATTAGTCCTAATAAATTTTTTAGTGGAATCCCTAGGAATTTCTATATATAAGATTATATCATCTGCAAATAGAAATGGTGTTATTTTTTTCTTTCCAGTCTAAGTGCCTTTTATTTCATCTTCTTTTATTGCCCTGGCTGGAACCTCCAGTGCAGTGTTGAATAAAAGTGGGAGTGGACATCCTTGTCTTGTGCCTGATCTTTAGGGAAAGCATTCAGTCTTTTATCATTGAGTATGATGTTAGATAAGATGCCTGTTATTAGGTTGAGGAGATGTCCTTCTATTTCTAGTTTGTTGAGTGTTTTTGTTGTGAAAGGGTATTGTATTTTGTCAAATATTTCTTATTTTTGCATCTATTGAGATTATTATGTGTTTTTTTGGCCTTTATTCTATTGGTATGATACATTACATTAATTGATTTTCAGAAGTTAAACCAATCTTCTTTTCATGGGGCTAATCTCACTTGGTCATGATGTATAAGTCTTTTTATATGTTGCTGGATCTAGTTGGCTAGTATTTTGTTGGAGAATTTTACATCTTATATTCCTAAGAGATAGCAGTCTGTAGTTTTCTTATGATGTCTTTGTCTGGTTTGGTTATTAGGGTAATACTAGCTTTATGGAACGAGTTTGGAAGTGTTCCCTGGTCAAGAATTTGTATTAATTCTTCCTTAAATGTTTAGTAGAACTCACCAGTGAAGGCATTGGGCCTGGATTTTTCTTTGTGAGAACTTTTTTTTTTTTAAGATTTTATTGGGGAATTGGGGGAGAGAACAGTGTTGAGGAATCGGGGAAGGGGAA